TTAGGGTTTAGGGGTTAGGGTTGCTCGAGGGATTCCTCCCCATGCACCTGGAAGTCTTTGGGGCATCGATGAATTCAAGGCCTGTGTCCCGGGATGCTTCAGAATTTTGAGCTCCAATGTGCCGTCCTTACCCTGGGGCTCCAAATAGCCCCAAAGGAGGTCCTACTTGTAAAGACCCCAGACCCTAAACCCTAAACCCTAATCCCTAAACCCTAGACCCTAGACCCCAACCCTAAACCCTAAACTCCAAACCCCAAACCCCAAAACCTAAACCCCAAACCCCAAGACCTAAACCCCAAACCCGAAACCCCGAACCCTAAACCCCAAGCCCTAAGCCACAAACCCCAAACCCCAAACCCCCAAACCCCAACGTAGGTGCCATTCGTGGACTTGGAGCCCTGGGGTTACAAAAGGGGCCATGCATTGCATTGACTGAGACGTGAAGATGGGATCGTCGTGTTTGGAAATAATTTTGGGGCCTCCCTAACGGTTTAGGGTTTAGGGTTTAGGGTAAAATAATTACGAATATTAGTCCTCAGGGTTCCTGTGCTACATTGAGTTGTTGTACAAGATACCCCCCCAAAGCCCCATTCAAGCATTCAGGCCCCTAGGTTACTTTCCATGGTACAGCCTTCCGTCATGTAAAGGCTCGTCCGAAGCTGTTGTTGACCTGCGTGTCTGAATTTGGAACTTCGGCCGTGAGTGAAACTCCGGCCCCTCCAGCATTAAAGCGTGAGCTGACCACCCCGTCAGAGAGCCCAACCCCTATAGCCCCTTAACCGTATCCCTAACCCTAATGGGTTCAATTTACTTAAAACCTAGAGTTTTAAGGGTTCTGAGAGCCCATTCATCCATGGACCCTTGAGATCAAATACTCCTAGAGGCTTCCAGACAGTGCTTGATTTCGGTGGAAGAGGCTCCCTGGCTTTCGTGCACCGGCTGAGTACAACAGCTGTATGTACAGACCTCTTAGGCTCCACTGTCCGCTGTGCAGTGAGAAAGTTCAGCCCCGATGTATGATGCTCCTCTGATTAATAAGCCCTCCTCCCTTGCACGGATTGTCACAAGGATCCTAACCAATAGTAGCATGCACCTGAAAGAATGGAACCAGAACACATGGTGTTTTTTGCCGGGTTCTGGCGTTACAACTCTGCCAGCCCTGTTACCCTCAGCCGACTTTGCGTCTTCACACTTCGGTATAGATATCTGAAATGGATGCAGGACCCTCCTGCAGCATCCTGTAGATCTTCCTGATTCAAGAGCGCGCTTCAAGCAATAGAGCATGTTATCATAAAAGCATTTGAAGGAACAGTTTTTTTCTCGGAGACTCAGGGGTAGCTATCAAGTAGGGTTACAAGTAGGGGAAGTATAGTTATAAGTTATAACCCCCCATTAGGGGACGTATAGCCCCACTTATAACTAGCCATGAACCTCAAAGTAGGGCCTCAAGCCCTAAAACCGAATCCCCCGAACTTCGCAAGTCCCCAAACTGGGTCTACTACGGTTGATGAGTGTTCAGGAATATGCCATAATTCCCATAGTTCAGGGTCCTAAATGGTAATGCAGGGTATATATCATCAGCAGTAGGCTCCAAGTAGGCATAGTTTTCATCTGTAAGCAGCCTCAACCCTAAACCCTAAACCCCAAACCCCAAACCCTTAACCCCTAAACCCCTCAACCCCAAACCCCAAACCCTAAACCCTGAACCCTAAGCCTCTCGGAGATGGGGCTCCGGGGTCGGAGCTTTTGGAGTTCAGAGCCCAAGAGCCCTTGGCGCTCTCTGGGTTTGGAGTCCAAAGTGCGCAACTTGGTGCCTAATTTGGGGGGGCCTGAATCATAGGATTTTTCCACCCTGAACTCCAAACCACAAGCCCCAAACGGCCCTAAACCCTTTAGGAGTGTGGGTTGAGGGTTTAGGGTTTAGGGGTTCAGGGGCTTTAGGGTTTTAGGCTTTAGGGTTTAGTGTCCAGGGGCCCCTGCACTGAACCCTTGCAAAACCCGCCTAAGCAACGTAACTAAACGCCCCAGACCACCGTAACTACGCGCGCCTGAGTCTACGCGCTAGCCACAGAGGTGCAGCAATCTCAGCCCACCCCAGCACAGAACACACCGAGTTCGATGTCAAGGCCAGGACGTCCGGTTTGCCTGCTTTTTGGGGGTTGTTTAAGACAGCTTTAATGAGGGCTCCATGCGCGTCCCTTTAGGGTTCTATTCAGGTTTTGTATAAGAGTTGTTAAGAATACTATAAGGGCTCTGTGGGGGTTCGTCAATTCGGTTTCTGGTTTTGACGGTACAAATCATACATCTGATGGACAACTTCGCTGCACTACCCATAGCAAGGAATACGTGGTAGTTCCTTAGTTTAGTATACCTAAGGCAATGGAACCATCATCGATCAGAGCAACTGTGCTGATGTTGGAGCTTCAGAAAGTAGGGGACCCTGCTCAGCAGCTGATGAAAGGATTATCCTTACTGGGACTCTGACAAAGGGATGGCTAAGGCGAAGAATCCCCTTCAGTGTGCAGGGTTTGGAGCTGTTTAGCCTGGATGCGTGGGCGTTTTTCTGTGTCCTTCAGGTCGCCTGTTGCATGGCTTTCGGCATTTCTGAGAGGTCCAGAGATCGGGTTTTGGGTTGATTTGGGGCTTTCCATTGTCGGGCGTGGGATGGCTCTGGCTCGTCGGGGGTTTTGCAATCCTACCGGTAGTATAGATTCTTATCGCCCGTACATCCAGCCTGACAAAAAGCCTACTGAACCCGAGAAAGCCCTACGACTCCCTAAGCCCTAAACCCCTAAACCCTAAACCCCTAAACCCCTAAACCCCTAAACCCTAAGCCCTAAACCCGAAGAAGGGTTAGTCCGATCGTCCAGGGCCCATCTAGGAAATTCAACAAGCTGGTCGATCCAGCCTTCAGGGTTCCCGGGCAAGGGCCCCCAAGGCTCCTGAACTTCCGCCTCGAGAGCTTAAGGATTCCTATGGTCTCTAAACCCGAAAGCCCTAAGCCCGGTGAGGGTTTAGGGTTTAGGGCTTAGGGCTTATGATCAGCCCCTGAGCCTCAAAGCCTCTCTCTAAACCTCAAGCCTTATGCCAGAAATCCTAAGCCAGTATAGCCTCCTGAAAGGTCTCATACGTGCCAAAGCCCATTGTCACGGTCGAGAGCATGTGGCCTCGGCAGGCAGACCCCGAAGCAAAAGTCATAAAGCTTACATAATCTCGGTTACGGCATTGTTGGGATGGTCAGGTGTAGGCACGATGTAGAATCTTAGAACACTAAACCCTAAACCCAAAGCCCTAAACGCTAAACCCAAAGCCCTAAGCCGTAAACCCTAAACCCTAAACCCAAAGCCCTAAGCCCTAAACCCTAAACCCAAAGCCCTAGGCCGTAAACCCTAAACCCTAAATCCAAGGCCCTAAACCCTAAACCCTAAACCTAAAGCCCTAAACCCTAAACCCAAAGTCCTAAACCCTAAGCCCAAAGCCCAAAGCCCCAAACCCTAAACCCTAAACCCAAAGCCCTAAACCCTTAACCCTAAACCCTATTCTGATTATTCAGGCGAGCGTGTGGGCTGGGTTCAGGGAGAGTTGTGGATGCCCTGATGCCGGACCGAGTCGAACTGTCATGATCTTGCAGATCAGATTTCAAGATGATCTTGCGGGGTTGCAATTTCTGTCGCAGCCTGGTGTGAAGCCCCTAAGCCCTAAACCTACATTGAACAAGATCTTAGCGTTTTATACTCGTATTTACGCAGGGAGGCAAGGTCTTGGGGATCTGATAATATAGGGGTCGGAGTAGTCGGAGTAGTGGGAAATTCTGGCCAGCAGTATCCCCTTAGAGTCCATGATGGAATGTACCCCCCCTCCGACCCTATTGCGATTATAGATTAAGACCCGTTGTGTGATTGTATCTATGGGGAGCATGCAGGCAGAAGATGAGGATGTGTGGCTGCAGTATGAAAGCGAGAAGAATTCACCGACTTCCTATGGTTCCTGTATACAACTACGCCATAGTAGAGTTCGGTTTGGGGGGGGTTT